TAAATAGAATCATAGAATCAAAGAGTTGGAAGAGACCTCATGGGCCATCCAGTCCAACCCCTGCCAAGAAGCAGGAATATTGCATTCAAATCACCCCTGACAGATGCCCATCCAGCCTCTGTTTAAAAGCTTCCAAAGAAGGAGCCTCCACCACACTCCGGGGCAGAGAGTTCCACTGCTGAACGGCTCTCACAGTCAGGAAGTTCTTCCTCATGTTCAGATGGAATCTCCTCTCTTGTAGTTTGAAGCCATTGTTCATGTCCTAGTCTCCAGGGAAGCAGAAAACAAGCTTGCTCCCTCCTCCCTGTGGCTTCCTCTCGCATATTTATACATGGCTATCATATCCCCTCTCAGTCTTCTCTTCTTCAGGCTAAACATGCCCAGCTCCTTAAGCCGCTCCTCATAGGGCTTGTTCTCCAGACCTTTTATCATTTTAGTCGCTCTCCTCTGGACACATTCCAGCTTGTCAATATCTCTCTTGAATTGTGGTGCCCAGAATTGGACACAATATTCCAGATGTGGTCTAACCAAAACAGAATAGAGGGGTAGCATTACTTCCCTAGATCTAGACACTATGCTCCTATCGATGCAGGCCAAAATCCCATTGGCTTTTTTTGCTGCCACATCACATTGTTGGCTCATGTTTAACTTGTTGTCCACGAGGACTCCAAGATCTTTTTCACACGTACTGCTCTCGAGCCAGGCATCCCATTCTGTATCTTTGCATTTCGTTTTTCCTGCCAAAGTGGAGTATCTTGCATTTGTCCCTGTTGAACTTCATTTTGTTAGTTTTGGCCCATCTCTCTAATCTGTCAAGATCATTTTGAATCCTGCTCCTGTCCTCTGGAGTATTGGCTATCCCTCCCAATTTGGTGTCGTCTGCAAACTTGATGATCCTGCCTTCTACCCCTTCATCTAAGTCATTAATAAAGATGTAAATAGAGTGAAGTATGTACTTTCTGAAAATAAATTTACATTTTTGAAATAAAGTTTTGTTGTGTACTTATGTTCCAACGGACCTTACATAAAAAATACCCCTCGTAGAAACCTTGTCCACTGATCAACTTTCATCCTTCAGGTCTAAACTTGGGGCCCTTCCACACAGCCATATAGCTCAGAATATCAAGACAGATAATCCAATATATCTGCTTTGAACTGGATTATGTGAGTTCACACTTCCATACAATCCAGTTCAATGTGGATTTTATACAGCTGTGTGTAAAAGCCCTAAGTGGTTAAAAAAGTAGTCAGGTCATGTGACAGAAATCCAGTCAGGCAGGTTCAAAAATTCCCAGTTTGAAACAATGCTGTGGGACTGCTAATTGCCTCCTATTTTTAAATGACTTCTCGGTAGTCTTTAGCATGTTCACTTAAATGTTTACTTTCAGCTGTGGTTACTTCTGGCAAGAGTGCCTAGGTTTAAATAACCTCAAGGCACCAGTTCCCCTCTGATCTTGGAAACTAGGCAGGAAACTTTCCATTGATACCTGGTTCCATACCCTCCACATTGGCTGGGGTTAGGGGCACAGGACTCCCTTGCCATTTTCTGTTGCACTCCAGAACAGAAATAACCCTCTGACATTAAAGCATCACACGTTGAGTAGGAAAACAATCTTTTTTTATTGAAGATAAGTAAAAACAGCAAGGTAAAAATATGCTTTAAGAAAATAGTTAAGTCCAATAAGGTACAAGTATAAGCAAGAACAAAGTATTCCAAGGCAGGGTTCAGCAAAGTTCATAAACAAAGTCCAGACTTTTGTAAGAAAACCCAAAGAACCAGGAAAACAGCATGAGTATTGTTCTGTCATGCGCTGGGCCTGTAAAGAATTGCCTTTAAGTAGGATGTGCAACTTGAGCCCAGCGGGAAGTCAGCCCCCCCCCCCCGAAGAGAAGTTCTTAGAGATTTTCCACTACAAATGGTCTTTAGATGGCTTGTGAAATATAACAAAGTCCTTTATTAATGAACAATCAAACAGAAACTTCTCTTGTCTTCAATAAAGTTAAACAAATGCTTCCAGGCTTTTATGCAACAGGTGGCTTCCTAATCTTGCCCACGAGGGACAGGCAACTGTCTTCAATGACTGTTTCTTTACTTTAAAGGAAAATCCCTATTTAACTTCTCCCAGGCTGACTGTAATCTAAGTCTTACTGATATGGGCTCTGCTACCGGGTCGAACTGCGTCTCGAGCATCGAGTGGACCTACCAGTAAGGCCAGTAGATTCTCCAGCTGGAGTTCTTTGGTCTTCCAAACTGTTTACCCTCCGAAATTCCTCAAAGCTTTAGGGCTGTTTACCTGGAAATCTTTGGATGCTCTTAAGACTGTTCTCCCCCACAAAGTCTTAAGGGTTGAAGCTTTTGTACAGGAGAAGCTTGTACACGTCCTCTAAATTAGCTTTCCTTACTGAGACTAACTAAAAATGGCTCCCTTCCATTTCCAATTGCCCTGAACAAGGGGCGGAACCAAAACTTAATGATGATGGACAGGTGACTTGCCCTACAACTGCAACCAAAGGAAGCCACCTTTCTGCAGAATCCCTGAAACCTTGGACTGCAAGTAAACATTAATTCCAAGCAAATAAAGTTGGAGCTCCTGGTACAGCCATAGCAGCACAAGTATATAATCCCAAGAGACAAAGAGTCAAACCAAGAACAAAAAATCCTTAATATGAATCTTCCAAGCAAGGCTTCTGTGGAACAAGAACAAGGACTTAGCAGGATTATGAAACGATGCTTCATCTGACTATTTTTTCCCTGGTGAGAACTTTATATCCCAACACCAAAATTGGTTTCGCTTTCCTTGACTGCCTCTTGCCCTTATCTCTCGAAGCCTAGGAGAACGGCGAAGGCCTTGGCTGAGCTGTCTGTTTTGGCTAAATTCCAGCCATCTGTTTATAGCAAATAAATCTGGAGCTCCTTGAACAGCTGTTCCAGAACAGACAAGCATTCGACGAGTGAGCCAACACTCTGAGATATGGATGGAGGATGATGAGGAACGATTTGAGTGTGACGACTGACCATTATAATTATTGATTGTAACTGCTGTTTTACTGTAATATGTATTATGATGTTTTATTGATTGTATGTGATATTATGGTTGGAAACCGGTCTGAGTCCCTCAAGAGAGGTGAGAAGGCCGGTACACAAAACTTTAAAATAAATAAATAAATAAATAAATAAATAAAAATAACACAATTTAAAACCGTCCTATGTGCAACTACTCTAACGAAACAGTAACGAAATTTCGTCACTCTACAATAACGAAATTCCTTCCAACTATACTTTAGAAACACTTTAGAAACGAGATGCCAGCACCCGCAGTTTTGCAGTGACGGTTGAAACTATTTTTTGTAATCGAAGGCATATCCCTGGAAGCCGCTTTTGGCATCTCCTCTCCTTCTTAGCCTAGGATTATTTATTTATTGTGTCAGTGCAACCAGTCAATTATATTACATTTCTAACAAAGCAAAAAAAAAAAAAGACAAAATACGAAAATTGTGAGTTTGGTAGTTGATTAAATGTCCTTTGACCAGTATCTGGCCACTTGGAGTGCCTCTGGTGTTCCTGCAAGAAGGTCCTCCATTGTGCATGTGGCAGGGCTCAGGTTGCATTGCAGCAGGTGGTCAGTGGTTTGCCCTTCCCCACACCCGCATGTCGTGGATTCCACTTTGTAGCCCCATTATTTAAGATTGGCTCTGCATCTCGTAGTGCCAGAGCGCAGTCTGTTCAGCACCTTCCAAGTCGCCCAGTTTTCTGTGTGCCCAGGAGGAAGTCTCTCGTTTGCTGTCAGCCATTGATTGAGGTGCTGGGTTTGAGCCTGCCACTTTTGGACTCTCGCTTGCTGAGGTATTCCAGCGAGTATCTCTTCTTAGAAAACTATTTCTTGATTTAAGAGCCCCTGAAGTCTGCCAAATTATAATTATATGCAACTACTATAACGAAAGGAGCCCCCAGTGGCGCAGTGGGTTAAACCCCTGTGCTGGCAGGACTGAAGACTGACAGGTCACAGGTTCAAATCCGGGGAGAGGCGTTTGAGCTCCCTCTATCAGCTCCAGCTCCTCATGCGGGGACATGATGGAAGCCACTGGAGCCCCCGGTGGCACAGTGGGTTTCAACCCCTGTGTCGGCAGGACTGATGACCGACAGGTTGCAGGTTTGAATCCGGGGAGAGGCGGATGAGCTCCCTCTATCAGCTCCAGCTCCTCATGCGGGGACATGAGAAAAGCCTTCCACAAGGATGATAAAAAACATCAAATCATCCAGGCGTCCCCTGGGCAACGTCCTTGCAGATGGCCAATTCTCACACCAGAAGCGACTTGCTCCTGACACGACAAAAATAATAATAATAAAAAATGAGGGAAGCCTCCCACAAGGATGATAAAAAACATCAAATCATCTGGGCGTCCCCTGGGCAACATCCTTGCAGACGGCCAATTCTCTCACACCAGAAGCGACTTGCAGTTTCTCAAGTCGCTCCTGACATGACCCAAAAACCCTATAAGGAAACAGTAACGAAATTTCGTCACTCCACAATAACGAAATTCCTACCAACTATACTTTAGCATCATTTTAGAAACGAGATGCCAGCACCCCCAGTTTTGCAGTGACGATTGAAACTATGTTTTGTAATTGAAGGATTTTTGTAATATCCCTGGAAGGCGCTTCTGGCATCTCCTCTCCTCCTGAGCCTAGGGTGCCTGCTTAGAAGAGGCCACGCCCCTATTCTCCCTCCCTCGCGCATGCGCCGTGTGCGGAGAGGCGCGCGCGGGAGGCTGACCACAACCAACAACAAGCATGAATACGGAAGGAGGGCGAGCGCGGCGCGAGCGAGCGAGGGCCCGCCCCTTTCGCCTCGCGCCTCCCTCCTTTCCCGAAGCGGGGAAAGGAGGCGCCTCTCCCTGTCAGCAGCTCGGGCGCTTCTCCGCCTCACTCACTCGCGGTATGACCTGAGGGGAGGCGGAGCGGGCCAGGCTTAGTCCGCGGCGGAGGCGCTTCGGGAGCGTCGGCGGCGGCGTCGACCCCATGTCCCGCCCGGCCGGCGCGGAGTACACGCTGCGGAGCCTGGGCCACCTGATGGGCGAGCGGAAGGGCGCCGGGGAGCGGAGCCTGCTGTCGGCGGGCGGCTCGGTCTCCAGCCTGGGCTCGTCGTCGGGCGCGGCGGCGGCGGAGCTGGAGCTGGAGCGGGCGGCGCGGCGGCAGTTCCAGGCGGGCGAGACGCCGGGCTTGGTGTACGCGGCGGCGGCCTTCTCGGCGCTGGGCGGCTTCCTCTTCGGCTACGACACCGGCGTGATCTCCGGGGCGCTGCTCCTGCTCAAGCGCGAGCTCGGCCTCGACGCCGCCTGGCAGGAGCTGCTGGTCTCCGGCTCCGTCGCCGCCGCCGCCCTCGCCGCCTTCCTCGGAGGAGCCCTCAACGGGTGGCTCGGCCGGCGCGCCTCCGTCCTCCTGGCCAGCCTCGCCTTCGCCGCCGGAGCCGCCCTCCTCGCCGCCGCCCCCGGCAAGCACACCCTCCTCGCCGGGCGCCTCGTCGTCGGCCTCGGCATCGGTGAGCACCGCTCCTCCATCTCCCCCTCTCCCCCTTAGCCATACACCACCCAAGCACTCCCGGCAGATGGCCATCCGGCCTCTCCCACAGACTCCACACTCAGGAATTCCTTCCTGATCTTTAGGGAGAACCTCAAGACATAGATTCTTGGAAGGAAACCCCGAGGGTCACAGAGGGAAACACAATCAAAGCACTCCCCGCAGATGGCCACCCAGCCTCTGTCTCAAAGCCTTCCAGACCTTTAGCAAGAATCTCAAGTCATAGATTCTTGAAAGGAGACCCTAAGGGTCACAGAGGGAAACTCAATCAAAGCACTCTCCGCAGATGGCCACCCAGCCTCTGTTTCTAAGCCTCCACACTCAGGAAGTTCTTCCTGACTTTTAGCAAGAATCTCAAGTAATAGATTCTTGGAAGGAATTGGAAGAAGACCCCAAGGGTCACTGAGGGAAACACAATCAAAGCACTCCCCGCAGATGGCCACCCAGCCTCTGTCTCAAATGACTCCAAAGGAAGTCATTCCTGAACTTTAGCAATAATCTCTAGTCATAGATTCTGGGAAGGAGTTGGAAGGAGACCCCAAGGGTCACAGAGGGAAACACAATCAAAGCACTCTCCGCAGATGGCCATCCAGTCTCTCTCACAGACTCCACACTCAGGAAGTCCTTTCTGATCTTTACCAAGAATCTCAAGTCATAGATTCTTGAAGGAGATTCTAAGGGTCACAGAGGGAAACTCAATCAAAGCACTCCCCACAAATGGCCACCCATCCTCTTTTTCTAAGCCTCCACACTCAGGAAGTCCTTCTTGACTTTTAGCAAGAATCTCAAGTCATAGATTCTTGGAAGGAGACCCCGAGAGTCACAGAGGGAAACACAATCAAAGCACTCCCCGCAGATGGCCACCCAGCCCCTGTTTCAAAGCCTTCGGAGGAGACTCCACACTCAGGAAGACCTTCCTGATCTTTAGCAAGAATCTCAAGTCATAGATTCTTGGAAGGAGATCCCGAGGGTCACAGAGGGAAACACAATCAAAGCACTCCCTGCAGATGGCCAGCCAGCCTCTGTCACAAAGCCTTCCAGACCTTTAGCAAGAATCTCAAGTCATAGATTCTTGGAAGGAGTTGGAAGGAGACACCAAGGGTCACGGAGGGAAACACAATCAAAGCACTACCCACTGATGGCCACCCAGCCCCTGTTTCAAAGCCTCCAGAGGAGACTCCACACTCAGGAAGTCCTTCCTGAGCTTTAGCAAGAATCTCAAGTAATAGAATCTTGGTAGGAATTGTAAGAAGACCCCAAGGATCACAGAGGGAAACACAATCAAAGCACTCCCCACAGATGGCCACTCACCCTCTGCACCCAGCCTCTGTCACAAAGCCTTCCTGACCTTTAGCAAGAATCTCAAGTAATAGATTCTTGGAAGGAGTTGGAAGAAGACCCCAAGGGTCACAGAGGGAAACACAATCAAAGCATTCCTCATAGATGTCCACCCAGCCTCTGTTTCAAACCCTCTGGAGGAGACTCCACACTCAGGAAGTCCTTCCTGATCTTTAGCAAAACTCTCAAGTTGGAAGAAGACCCCAAGGGTCACAGAGGGAAACACAATCAAAGTACTCCTTATAGAAGGCCAGCCATCCTCTCAAAGCCTCTGAAGAAGACTCCACACTCAGGAAGTCCTTCCTGACCTTTAGCAAGAATCTCAAGCTTGGAAGGAGTTGTAAGAAGACCCCAAGGGTCACAGAGGGAAACACAATCAAAGCACTCCCCGCACATGGCCACCCAGCCTTCGTTTCAAAGCCTCCGGAGGAGTTCTTACAGTCAGGAAGTTCTTCCTAATGTTTTGATAGAATCTTACTGTTGGAAGGAACCCTGAGGGCCACCCAATCCAACCCCTTGTCATGCACAATCAAAGCACTCCCAACAGATGGTCAACCAGCCTCTGTTTAAAAGCCTCCAGAGGAGACTCCACACTCCAAGGCAGCATATGTCATAGTTCTTACAGTCAAGAAGTTCTTCCTGATATTTAGCAAGAATCTTATTATAGAATCCTAGAGTTCGAAGGAGACCCCTTGCAAGGGTCACAGAGGGGAACACAATCAAAGCACTTCCCACAGATGTCCACTTAGCCTCTGTTTAAAAACCTCCAGAGGAGACTCCACCAACTCCAAGGCAGCACATCCCACTGCTGGACAGCTCTTACCATCAAGAAGTTCTTCCTAAGGTTCAGATGGAGTCTTTTTTTTATAGAATTCTAGAGTTAGAAGAGACCCGCAAGGGTCACAGAGGGAAACACAATCAAAGCACTCCTCACAGATGGCCACCCAGCCTCAGTTTAAAAGCCTCCCGAGAAGGAAACCCCACCACACTGTCATAGTTCTTAATAAATAATAATAATAATAATAACAACAACAACAACACTTTATTTGTACCCTGCTACCATCTCCCCAAGGGACTCGGTGCGGCTTACATGAGGTCGAGCCCAAATACAACAATACAAGCAATAATAGCAACAATAACAACAAGCATTTAAAATAAAAACATGGACAATAAAATAAGTTCTTACAGTCAGGAATTTCTTCCTAATGTTTAAATAGAATCCTACAGTTGGAAGAGACCCCCAAGTACCACCCAGTTCAACCCCTTGTCATACACAATCAAAGCACTCCCAACAGATGCCCATCCAGCCTCTGTTTAAAAGCCTTCCGAGAAGGAGGCGCTGTCACACTCTGAAGCAACATTTCCCACGGCCAAACAGCTCTTTCTTATTTTCAGGAAGTTCTTCCTAATGTTTAAATCCTAGAGTTGGAAAAAACCCCAGGGCCATTAATTCCGCAACTCCGTTTGGCCATGCATGAAGGCACAAGCAAAGCACTCCCAGCAGCTGGCCTCTGTGTAAAACCTCCAGGTGAGACTCCACCACACTCCAAGGCAGTGTATGTCATAGTTCTTACAACCAGTATTCAGCAAAACCTCTAGTCATAGAATGCTAGAGTTGGAAGAGACCCGAACAGTCACAGTCAAAGTACTCCCTACAGATGCTCATGTGATCTCTGTTTTAAAACCTTCAGAGGAGACTCCTCTACACTCCAAAGCAGCATATTCCAGTGCTGAACAGATCTTTTCAGGAAGTTCTTGCTATTGTGTAGGTGGAATTTATTTTCCTGCCATTTGAATCCATTGCTCTATATCGTAGTCTCCAAAGCAGCTGAAAAAAGCCTGCTCCCTCTTCATTGTGATATCTTTTCAGATATTTAAACATGGCTCTCATGTCCCCTCTGTTTTTTTTCTCCCTCCAAGCTAAACATACCCAGTTCCCTAAGCTGTTCCTCATAGAGCTTGGTTTCCAAACCTTGGGTCATTTTGGTCTCCTTCCTGTAGAAAACCTCTAGCTTGTTAATGTCCTTCATGAATTGTGGTGCCCAGAACTAGACACAGTGGTCCAGGTAAGGTCTAGCCAAAGTAGAATAAACTACGACTTCCCTCAATAAACATTGGTGGGCATCTGACCTCTGTTTTAAAACCCCCAGAGAAGGAAACTCCACCACATTTGGAGGCAGCATGTTTCACTGCTGAGCAGCTCTTACCACTAGGAAATTCTGTTAATGTAAGATTAGTGTAATGTGAATGTTTAAATGTAATTTTGTGTAATGCCTGTGAATGTAACCTGATTGCATTAGCAGAGAGTGTATTGACTCTGAAAGGGTTAATCAGTCAAGCATCTAATGAACTGTGAAGTTGTGACCCTGAGTGTGCCTGGAACATGTAGGGAGGATCCAGAGATAAGATTTTGTACGTCCTTCTTAATTCGGTGCTGTTGTCTTGTTTCTGTTCTTTTTGGTTGGGTGTCAGTGCGAGTGTTTGCTGTATATTTGCTCTACTCAGTAAAGCTATACACTTGCTTTTACTGAAGTCCCAAAGTGTCCGTTCTTCTAAGCTTCAAAGTTTCTGTCGCACTCTGACAAATTCTTCCTAATGTTTAGGTGGAATCTCTTTTCATAGAATCAGAGTTGGAAGAGACCTCATGGGCCATTCAGTCCAACCCCCTGCCAAGAAGCAGGAAAATTGCATTCAAAACACCCCCGACAGATGGCCATCCAAACACACCCCTTTGCTAGGGACTCCTCGGTTGTGCCTGTAAACTCTTCCTGGGTACCTTTTTCCTCTCAAGGTGTGTACCTGCAATTTAGAATTAATGCAGTTTATTTACTTTATTTTTTATTCATCCTTTCTCTCGATACAGTGACTTAAGGTGAATATTTTAGATCAGAGCATAAAAATATTAAAATATCTGTAGAACTACATTTAAAAACTACACCCCCTCAAAATAGCACTTAAACCTTCATCACCTATAGCTCAGTGCTATGGAATCCTGAGCGTTGTGGTAGTTTTACAAGGTCCTTACCAAACTACAACTTCCAGGATTCCATAGCATTTAAACGGAGGCTGGATGGCCATCTGTCAGGGGTGATCTGAATGCAATATTCCTGCTTCTTGTCAGGGGGTTGGACTGGATGGCCCATGAGGTCTCTTCCAACTATTTGATTCTATGATTCTATGATGAATGGTAAACATGATACCATAGAATTAAAAGCAGAGCCAATGCATCAAAATATGGATAGAAAAATGAAAAAAATTTTTTTAGATCAGAGCATAAAAATATTAAAATATCTGTAGAACTACATTTAAAAACTACACCCCCTCAAAATAGCACTTAAACCTTCATCACCTATAGCTCAGTGTTATGGAATCCTGAGCTTTGTGGTAGTTTTACAAGGTCCTTACCAAACTACAACTTCCAGGATTCCATAGCATTGAGCCACATCAGGTAGAATCCAACTCCATTAACTCTACAGTGTATTTTGAACACCACTTTCAACTTCCTGAGTTTGTTCTGGTCAGTCGTCCCTTTAATAATCTGTTTTTTTAATGCATTTCCTGTTTTTAAAAATCTCTATTTTTTATTAAATACTAGCTGTCCCCTGCCATGCGTTGCTGTGGCCC